TAGTTTTGATCAGGGATAATAAGCCTAACTGGTGTATGCCTAACTTTTATTTTATCTATTGGGATACATGAGTAGAGTGAATGCTAGTAATATAATGTAAGATAGTTTAGGTGCACACTGTTCTTGAATTTATTTTTTTCCCTGTCAAATGATGCAGCAGCATGCTGCAAAGAAAAGGCAGCTTCAAGAACAAGTGAACACTTTTCTTTAAACAGTCCAAACTTTAAAAGGCCCTATCAACATGAAATAAATATAAAAAAAACTCCCCAAAAAGTTGAAAACCCCAAAATTCCACCACTGACACTGATACTATGACACTATGGCTACTCCGTGCTTCCCTTTTATAGTGAATGGGCTGGCTCATCCAATATCCCCCCTATTGCCCCTCCTATATTTTCTAGGCATAGTTCAAAAGCCAAGCAGTGCAATATCCATCAGGATTGCGAATCTCAAACCCACAGGAATTGCCTCAAATCCGTGTAAGCAGTGAAGTTGAACCTCAAACCGCAGATAAGATGTTAACTGAACAAGGAAAATAGATGAGATATAGTGAATCCAAGTCCTGGGTTTAGTAACACTTTAAGAAAAAGCTGTATGTTCTACTTTGCCTTTGGAAGTTTGGCTCCTGAATGGGAGTGTCTGTGTTCAATACAATGAGCTGATACACATGCAGGGTTTTAATTAGAAAAGTTGCACTGTTTGCACCACTTAAACATTATTGCTTGAAAAGGAAAGATCATTTTTAACAACATTAATGTACAATATTGCTTGTGTAGCAATTTTTACATGCTATATTTTTTATTTGCTATATTTTTTGTCACAAAAGTGGAGTTGTTATATCTAATATACTACCCCCCAGAAGTACCCAGGATTCACAATACTGAGGTAGAACTGTACTTTCACACATGAAAATTAAATCTCTCAACATATGGATTTTATGAAGTACCTTCTCTTTGCTATGGCCGTGACAAGGATTTTTTTTTTTTTGTTTCACCGCATGACACTCTAATATTTTACCCCTTAGGTCTTCACCACTGGCAACAGTCAGCATGCAGTCAAAGCCTGTTACTGAAACATTAGCAAGGTTGTACCCAATAAACAGCCTGTGGACAGGGGTGATAGACATTCCTGCAGAGGCATAATTCAGGAGGAGAGTTTTAGGCAGGTGATAGAAGGAGAATAAACAAACTAAATGAATGATAGATAACAAGAACCAAAGGACAAAACAAGGTTGGAAGAGTATCTGTCAGGGTTCGAAGAAGCAATAGGAAGCATATGCTCAGGTGCTGTTTCAGAGCACTGATCTGAATTTTGATTTCTTCTTCCAAGGTGAAGCAGCAAGCCTGCTGCAGCACCGCTGTGCTGCAATTACCTTGTGGTGTAGGAACATGCCTGTGTTGAGTGCATCCAGCTACTTGACCAAGAGGCGCTAAGTCCAATGGCATAGAGTGCATGAAGATGTGGGATGTGAGGGCCCAGAGGTGGCTTGTTGCATAAAGATGGAGAAGTGATAATAAGGCACTGATTTTTACTCATTACTGTCTTTTTTTATAAAAAAAAGACCATTTCTTTGCAGGCGTTCTGGTCCTGTGCCTCCTGTTTTTTTTCCCTACACCCTCCAGTGCTCCAGAGACACATATTTATAAGATAAATGGGTCAGGCTTTTTCTATATCAGTAAATAGATTGCATGCTGTCCACTTCACACTGACTGCACCATCAGTTCCATTTATTTGTTGTAGCTGTTTTAATATTTGTTCTTTCACAGTACCTGTCTAAAACATGTTTAATAAAGATGAAACAGCCTCATTTGACTAGACTCAGCAAGCATTGTGCTGGTAGGTCCAGATCATGAATTCCGCTGAAATTGTTTTACAGCATGACCCATTGCTTTGAATCAGATTTCAAGTCAAAGTCAACATAGATTTTAAAATGCACCATATTTATGAAAAGTCATGCTTATTCAATATGTCTCTTACAGATGTCAGTGATAGGTCTATTCAACTAGCTTATATCTGTTACCTTTTTGTTTCACAGAAAATACGTATTTTCATATTAGGTCCATATAGATAATACTCCAATTTTGATTTAATTTATCTTGATTTAATTCAAAATATTAACAGAATTGTACCTAAAATTGCTACACGTCTGAAAGTAATAGTATTAGTAATAGTAAATAGTATTACTATTTTAATAGTATTACTATTTTACCAATTAGTTGTTATTTTGTTCTCTTTTGCTTTCTTCAACTACACCTGTGTTATCATTTTCGAACATGATAGATTTCCTCAACAATGGCTTTTACCATTTCTGAATTGATAGAAGGAGAGATGAATGTGTAACAGCATCCCAAATTATTGCCCTTGCTATATAACATATTTTAATATTAGAAACTTCAAGTTTGTACTGAAATCCGTTATAGATTCCTGGGGTTTTTATCCTACTTATTTATTTTATTTATTTCAGGTACATACATAGCGCCATCAATTTATGCAGTGCTTTACATACAGCATATATTGTACATTCACATCAGTCCCTAACTCTTGAGGAGGGTACAATCTAAGGTCTGTAACTCACATTCAAACATACACATACTGGGGCCAATTTAGACAGGAGTCAGTTAACCTACCAACATGTCTTTGAAGTATGGGAGAAAACCGGGGTATCCGGAGTAAACCCATGCAGGCGCAGGTAGAACATGCAATCTCCACGCAGGTAGTGCCATGGTTGGGATACCACTCAATGACCTTAGTGCTGCCAGGCATAAGTGCTAACCACTATTAAATAGTAATATTGAGTAGTTCCCCCTTTGCCACCAAAACAGTCCCTTTTGCTGCCAAAACAGCCCTGACAAATTAAGGCATGGATTCCACTAGAATTCTGAGACCCTGAATTCTTGAAGATGATATACCTGCTCATTTGTCTTAGCATAAGCCTCCAGGTAATCCAAATTCGACTTGCATGAACCACACGTTTGAGATCTCCCCTGAGTGGCTAGATGATATTAAGCCCAGGAGACTGTGATGGCCACTTTAAAACCTTCACCTTTTTTTTGTTGTAGCCACTGGGGGGTCAACTTGGCCTTGTGCTAAGGGTCACTGTCTTGCTGGAAGGTCCAAGAGTGTCCCATGCACAGTTTTCGTATAGAAGAATGACAATTGTGTGCCAGCATTTTCTGATAACATGCTACATTCATTTTGCCATCAATAAGATTCCCCATGCCTTAAGAGCTCACACACCCCCAAAACATCAGTGAGCGGCCACCATGCTTCACAGTGGGGATGGTATTCTTGTCGCTAAAGGCCTTTTTGGCCCCTCTCCAAACATAGAGCTTATGGTTGTGACTAGAATGCTCTATTTTGGTCCCATCACTTCAGACTACAGTGCACCAGAAGCTGTGAGCCATGTTAAGGTGATGTCGGGCATATTGTAACTGGGCTTTTTTGTGGCATTGGTATAGTAAAAGCTTCTTTCTGGCAAGTCGATCATGCAAGTAATTTTTGTTCAAGTGCTCCTTGGAACAACCATGCTATCTTTTTCCAGAGCAGCCTGTATTTCTCCTGAAGTTACTTATAGGTTTTTCTTTATATCCTGAAAAATTCTTCTGGCAGTTGTGGCTGCAATCTTTTTTGGTGTATACTGACCTTGGCTTGGTATCAAGAGATTCCCGAATCTTCTTAAAGTGGAAGTAAACCCACTTTTGTATCTTTTACCTACAGGTAAGCCTCAATAAAGCTTACCTGTATTTAAAATAAATATGTCCTAAAGGTGCACCGTTTTTGTTAGCTGGCGCCTACACTCTGATGTATACTAGCACATTATGACATTACCTTCCAGGGGATTTTTATTTTTTCTCAAGCCGCAGTTTACTACTTCTTTAATAAGTGATTGAACAATACTGACTGGCATATTCAAGGCTTTGGATATCTTTTTATATCCTTTTCCATCTTTATAAAGCTCTGTTACCTTGTTACGCAGATCTTTTGACAGTTCTTTTGCTCCCCATGACTCAGTATCTAGTCTGCTCAGCACCTCCACATGAGAGCTAACAAATTGACTATTTATTCACAGACACTAAATGCAATTTAAAAGGCCACACATGTGGAAAATTAACCTTTAATTGCCATTTTAACCTGTGTTAATACCTTGCCATGGTATGTAAACTTATCATCAGGGCCATTTGGGTGATTTCTGTTATCATTATGATTTACAAAGGAGTCAAACTATTATGTAATAATATATGGCTTCATATGGTCACTATCCTTAAATAAAAGACAGTTTTTTCTGGCATGATCAGTCATATTTTCATTATCAATGCTAAAATTTCACAATCCCTGCCAGGGTATGCAAACTTTTGAGCACAATTGTATCTAGCAGTGATTATAATGTTATTGCTGATCGGTGCATTCCTGTACTGCAGAAGAAATGTCCTATTTGTCATCAAGCCAAGCCATGTATGTGTGGATCCTGTCTTAAAACTGTTATGCACAACAACGGGTCTCAAAGTTTCAAAATGTCTACTGATAGATAATATGGAAGTAAACAGAAGAGATAGGTCTCAATATAACGTCATGAATAGCCTTAAACTTTATCAGATATACACCTAAAATTCAGACACATATTTATGCCAAACACAGCTTACCCTAACATCACTGATAATACAGTGCTCATAGATTACTACAGAAAATACATATTATTATGGTACACTTTGGAGATAGTGGACCTGGATAAAATAAATGACAACACTGATTGAAAATGATACCATGCTGAATCTTTTGAATGAATGCTTTTTTTGAAAGTGACACATTCTGGGATCCTTGATGTGAACTCTATTCCGTTTGAAAATATTTGTCGAAAATCACCCACAACATTGCAAATAGCAGGCACAGAAATTATACCCCATGGCTGCACTGCAATGCACGGAACATTTGAGCTAGTTGTGCTATCTGTCTGTTAGGGTAAAATTATTGCTTTTAAGTGTTGTTCATTTCTCTTTCCCCAGTAAAATCTGATGAGCTTCAGACAATCAAGAAGGAACTGACCCAAATCAAAACCAAGATCGACTCTTTGCTGGGCAGGCTGGAAAAAATTGAAAAACAGCAGAAGGCTGAAGCAGGTTGGTGAAAATGATTTATGGCACAGTCTTTGGAATCTCATTAAGACGGAAATTAAAGCAAGAAAAAGCACATAACTCAAAGCCGTGGATTTTCTCAGAAAGAATTGAAAATCCATGAACATAAAGCACATATTAAATGGTATCTGAATTGAGAAAAGAAAAACATACACATTGCCAATGCTCATATCTGTAAGAAATATTATTATACGACAGCAATGCAGATCACATAATTAGAGAATTATTAATATGTTCGGTTTGTATCAGGTTACATAGTTAGTCTGGCTGAAGAAAAAGACAAAAGTCCATCCAGTTCAAACATTAAAAAAAAAAAAAAAAAGTTATAATCCTATACCCACAGTTGATCCAGAGGAAGGCAAAAAAAAACAGCAACCAGCAAAGCATGATCCAATTTGCTCCTGCAGGGAAAAAAATTCCTTTCTGATCCCCCGAGAGGCAATTGGATATTTCCTGGATCAACTTTATCTATAAATGTTAGCATCCAGTTATATTCTGTGTATCTAAGAAAGAATCCAGGCCTTTTTTAAAGCAATCCACAGAGCTTGCCAGAACCAACTCTTGAGGTTTTTGTTGAAGATAAGTAATTTTTAAATAATTGAATAGTAAGTAAAAAAAGATAATAACATTCCTAGTCCTATTAGTTATAAGGGCTAGTTCGCACTAGATGCAGTCCAGTGCATTTTTTAGCTGCATCAAAAGTTCATGCACAGTGTTTTCCATTTATTCCAATGGCCCTAGTTCACACCAGTGCAGTCAGTTCCAGTCAGTTTCTGGTGCAGAAAAAAAAGTAGAACATGCTGCACTTTTTTCTGCACAGAACTGTATTGGAATATAGCAAAACGCATCAAAACTGCACCGGAACGGAGTGTGGTGTGAACTGTAAGAAAAAAACATATCCGGAATGCATCCAGAGTGCATTTCTGTGTTATGAACTAGCCCTAAAGGTGATTTGCAATGTTGCAGTACATTTTTCACTAGCCTGATACATTGAAAATTATTCACTTTTGAACAGGAGCTAAAGTATATCTAGTGAGTATAAAAATATGACATACAGATCCCCAGAAAAGTTCATTATGCAGCGTGAAAAGCATTCCAGAGCAGCTATTGTGCTCCTAAGTACCTCTGTTGTCTACCGAGTCTGAATGGTAGATGTCCAGAACTCCTTGTTCCTTGATATTAACAGGATATTAGTATTCGTGCCTGTGCAGGATGTACATCTCTAGTTTTCTCTTGCGAAGTGAGAGCAGGAAATGCCTAATGGAGATTTTAAAGAATTGACATTATAAACCCCATTAATTTAGTGTGGTGTGCAATGCTAAGAGGTATTCAACATGTTTTTAGGAGCATTCCAAATACTTTTGTTTTAAGCACAACAGTGATTATATCTGTAACTCCCATTTTTAAAACATAAGTGACCTTCAAGAGATAAGCTCACTTTTGTGCTCTTTTTTTTACTACATTCCAGCTCCTCTACAGTATGTACCAATACTTCTTTTAATTAATTTAATTAATGTACTTCTTTTGCAGAAATTCAATAGCTTTCTATTTTTTCTACTCATTGTCCAGATGGCTGTCCAAAAAATTTCTCGATTACTTCTGCCTTATTTCCTGCAGAGACTTTAGGTCATGACACAGGAAGGAGTTGACCAGCTGACCTCATTAGCACACACCCTGCATCATCTATCCTACTACCTCCCACCCACTTAGAGGTGCATGACTATTAAATGAAGTTCAACCAATCAGTGATCATTGTTCTTATTAAATACACAGACATTGATTTTTATTGTTCTACCTTAAAGTGTCACTAAACCCACAACAGTAAAATCAGTCTGTATATGCAGTAAAGCATGCTTGTTGTAATCACTGTTGAACCTAAGGGGTTAATCCTCTGCATTGTGTAAAATGGCCGTTTGATCCTGTTTTCTCTGCCCCTCCTCTTGTTCAAATGTCCATGGGGTATCTTCTGATAAGACAGACTGAACCTGTAGCCCTTCTGTACATGCTCAGTTTGGTGTGTATTTTTAGAGAGGGTTTTTTTTTTTCTTGGGAGAATGCATGTGATCAGCACAGGGCCAATCAGCACTGTTCAGACAGAGGTCAGGGGTTTGCATCCTCCTAGAGCAGAAAGAAAACTCCTCCTACAAGCTTTAACCAGTGCTTGGCTGCAGTCACAAGATTGCTCTAACTGCTGATGAGAAAAGGTATTTAGCAGTTTATATTTACTAAAATAATTCCATGTTCTGTATACTGTGGGAGACCAGACCAAATAAATGATCTATGCAAGATGAAAAGTGTTACTAAGCCCAGGACCCTGCATTCACTCTATCTGGTATCTCACAGTACACAGAACATGGAAATGCAATTATTTTAGTAAAATATAAACTGCTAAATACCTTTCCTCATCAGCAGTTAGAGCAGTTGTGACTTCAGCCGAACACTGGTTAAAGCTTGTAGGAGGAGTTTCTGCTTTCTGCCAAATGAATGATCTATGCAAGATGAAAGTTAAGACTGGCCATACATTATACAATTTTCTTGAGATTTTTGGTTTAGATTTACCAAAAACCATATACCGTATATACTCGAGTATAAGCCGACCCGAATATAAGCCGAGGTACCTAATTTTACCACAAAAAACTGGGAAAAACTATTGACTCGAGTATAAGCCGAGGGTGGGAAATGAGGCACCTACTAGTCAATGTAAAAAATTGGTGTCAGTGGGAGGAATAGTGTCCCATCATTGGTGTCAGTGGGAGGAATAGTGCCCCCATCATTGGTATCACTGGGAGGAATAGTGCCCCATCGTTGGTGTCAGTGGGAGGAATAATGCCCCATCATTAGTATCAGTGGGAGGAATAGTGCCCCATCATTGGTGTCAGTGGGAGGAATAGTGCCCCATCATTGGTGTTAGTGAGAGGAATAGTGCCACATCATTGGTGTCAGTGGGAGGAATAGTGCCACATCATTGGTGTCAGTGGGAGGAATAGTGCCCCATCATTGGTGTCAGTGGGAGGAATAGTGCCCCATCATTAGTATCAGTGGGAGGAATATTGCCCCATCATTGGTGTCAGTGGGAGGAATAGTGCCCCATCATTGGTGTCAGTGGGAGGAATAGTGCCCCATCATTGGTGTCAGTGGGAGGAATAGTGCCCCATCATTGGTATCAGTGGGAGGAATAGTGCCCCATCGTTGGTGTCAGTGGGAGGAATAGTGCCCCATCATTGGTGTCAGTGGGAGGAATAGTGCCCCATCATTGGTATCACTGGGAGGAATAGTGCCCCGTCGTTGGTGTCAGTGGGAGGAATAATGCCCCATCATTAGTATCAGTGGGAGGAATAGTGCCCCATCATTGGTGTCAGTGGGAGGAATAGTGCCCCATCGTTGGGTGTCAGTGGGAGGAATAGTGCCCCATCGTTGGTGTCAGTGGGAGGAATAGTGCCCCATCGTTGGTGTCAGTGGGAGGAATAATGCCCCATCATTAGTATCAGTGACACCAATGATGCGGCACTATTCCTCCCACTGACACCAATGACACTTGCTGACCCCTGTTGCAGTATGGTGCTGCTGCAGCCAGCATATGTAGTTGCAGCAGCACCTCTGCACTGCACACTTACCGGCTTTTCCCTCACTCGATTTTCGCGGGTCCACTCGGCTCCGCCTCCTCGCCCATGATTGGCCGCCTGTGTACCTTTCCTGAGCTACAGTTCTGGCAGCCAATCACCGGTGAGGAGGCGGCGGAGCCGAGCGGCAGGAGTGAGGGAGTGGCCGGGAGTGACGGAAGGAGCAGCGCTTCCTGGATGGATCATCGGGAGCCAGGTGAGAGACAGCAGCCCTCTGCCCACCCCTGTACGTGCCCCCCTTGACGGAGCCTCGCGCCCCCCCTGAGGGGCGCGCCCCACTATCTGCAGATGTTGACTCGAGTATAAGCCGAGGGGGGCCGTTTTTCAGCACAAAAAATGTGCTGAAAAACTCAGCTTATACTCGAGTATATACGGTAATAGGAGGTCAAACCTAACAACACTTTCAGTTATGTCCAATTAGGCAGGCTCTTACACTACATAGTTGAAGGTAAATCTAAAGGAAATTGGGCAGAAATTGGACAGAAAATTGTATAGTGTATGGCCAGCCTAAGGTACAGGAATAAAAATCGGTGTCTGTGTATTTAGTGAGAACAGTGATTACTAATTTATTGCTTTTCGTTTAATATTCGTGCACCTGGAAGTGAGTGGGAGGGTAGATGATGCAGGGTGTGTGCTAATGAGGTCAGCTGGTCAATTCCTTCCTGTGTCATGACCTAAAGGCTCTGCAGGAAATAAGGCAGAAGTAATGGAAAAGCTTTTTATACAGCCTTCTGGACACTGACATAGAGGTGGGTAGAAAAAAATGGAAAGCTTTTGAATTTCTGCAAAAGAAGTAGATTAATGCTATATTGGTACATAGGGGAGCTGGAGTTTAGAAACAAAATCATAAACAAAGGTGAACTTATCCTTTAATGCTTAGAACTGGCTACATACGTTACAATTTGATTGTACAGTCTACATACAATCTCCACTGAATTTAACAAAACAATCCAATAGAGGTGACAAATTAGGTAAATCGACCAACGCCTATACATATAAGCAACCAGGAAGAAAGAACAATATATACAGTCTATGTATTCATTCTCATGTAAATTGCAGTGCTTCTAAGAAGATCACTTAGATGTAAAAAAAAAAATGTCATCTCATTTTATAAAGCCCTATCGCTTGGGACTGGTGAATGGTGGAAAGTCTGAAGTGCAGAATGTTTTTCCTGGATGGAAACAGACGTGTATTGACCTCTATATCTGCAAGGTCCTACTGCCTGTTGGGTGTACACCCAGATTACTGGGTGGTGGTGTCCATTATACACTTAAAGACCTCTGTGCACAGATTCCCCAACTATTAAGGGTTATTAGGTTTGAGGTCGAGGATATGGCTTCTTAAAGGATAAGTTCACCTTTTAAC